ATCACGATTTTGGTTTGTAAGCAGCTGACGAGAAACTTCGAAATAATATGAATTCATACTATTCTGCATCAATGTTTGTTCTTGCTCTATTTAAATAGCGATTTGGTAATATATATGGTGCTATAGGCAGTCGAATCCCCAACTTCTTATCTCGACTCCTCAAACTAGTTCATAACGCTATTTCGACAATAGTAAGTGGCTCAAGTTTTTTTAAAGCTGCTCATAGGTCGTCCACAAGTTATGGTCTCCCAAAATCACATGCAAGTTTACTCGGTTCGAATTAGTGGGTTGTAAAAACTTATTCCTAAAGCTAAGGTGATGGTACATTCTTCAGAATCTTTTAAGATAGAGTTTGACGACTACCTTGTTTTTGTGGGTACCGGAAAAGATTATTCGGTGTTATTCTTCTATCAATTCTTTTGTTATCTAGTTTGTTTTTGGTCTAATAGTTTCTTGGAGGAATATGTCAGGAATCATATCTATCTATAGTCCAGAACCCATCCCTAGTAGTTGTTCGCTAATTATAGTCAAGGTGTATCAAAACTGCTGAGCTATTGTTCCATTGAGTAGGTAGTCAACAGTGACCTTTGGAATTCCTGGTTCCACTAGAGTTTAATGTCAAATTATAGACTTTAATACAGGTAAATATTATGAGTCCTAGAGGTTAATTCTAATAGCCCGAAACATTAGTGATCATAATCGGCATAGAAGTCAAACATCGAAAATTAATCTAGTTCATCGTGAGTTGGTGATTTTCTCCTTATGTCCATCAATATTGTTATTTGTAGGTGAATAAACAAATCGGTATTTTAATGTCTAATCCATCACTTGGTATACAGAAAGCTAACAAAGGGCCACTTGCCAACTTAAAATAATATGTTCAAAAGAATACTAAGTGTCGCTGGAAGATTGGCTTGCATCAGCGTCTTAATTGGTGATGGGGAGTGAAGTAGTTGAGCGTATCGACCGCTCCACTTATTGTGGGGATTTCATCAGTCCTGATGCACTGGAGTCCGGTATGGATTTGGAAAGCTTAGATGGCTTTTTCCGACTTGGATCACTTGTGGCGTAGGCGAGGTATTTGTCTGTCAACCCAAAACGATTTTACTGTTCGGCAGTCCTATTTTACTTTATGGGTGTGAAATATGGTCATTAAGAATAGATTATATTCGTAGATTATTAGCGCTTTATCACAGGTGTCTCATAAGCATCGCTCATATATTTTGCAACCACCAAGTAAGCGATACTGGATTTAGGGATACGGTGCTGGGTAAAGATTCCAGATCAATTGATGATCTCAGTCAGTCAGTCAGTAACAACGTAGAACTTCGTACGTACGTACATCAGTTCGAGTTGCCACACCACATTAGCACAGAGATGCAGTTGTCGATTCAAATCCCATAGTGGTAGAGGTAATAAGAGTATAAGCAGTAATCGGAAAGATTAAGGTTTGGAGAAGTTATTTATAGAGTATAATCCAGTGAAATAAATTTGGAAAGAGGAAAAAAGGGACATGAAGAATTCAGAAGATTAGAATTTGAGAGAACACAAAGAGTGGATGCACCTGCGCCATTGCAAACGATTTTGAGCCATGTCATTCAGGGTCTCTAACCATCGGTTGCTATCATCTCGTGGTCCCCAACCAGGTAGTCTACACCTACCAACATGACTCAGTCCACTTGTCAGTGACTTCATGGACTTGTGCCATGTTTTGGTCTGGCCGCCCCTAGCTTTCTTCCAACCTACTCCTATACCACTGAACATAGCACGTCGAGGCAGTCGGTCGTTGGGCGTACGTAACACGTGTCCCAGCCATCTCAACTGATGAAGTTTCACTACTTCATCAATTGATTTGCCGTCCTTACCTAGTACCCGTTTCCTAACAACTGTGTTACTTAATCGATGGTCCCATGATATACGAGCAATGTTTCGAAGACACCTATGATCGAATACTAGTAACCTACGAATATCCTCTACTCTTACCGGCCATGTTTCACTGCCATAAAGTAGGACGGGACGAACTGCTGCGCAGTAAACACGTCCTTTGGTTGATAGACGGATATCTCGCCTACGCCATAAATGACGCAAGTTGGCAAAAGCTAGTCGAGCCTTCTGTATCCGTGCTGAGATTTCGTCACACACCAGACCACAAGAGCTGATGAGACTTCCAAGATAAGTGAAGCGGTCGACACACTCAACTACTTCACTCCCTATCACTAGTTCGGGTGTCGATGTAACCCAATCCTGAAGCAACATTTTGCATTTCGAGGGAGAGAATCTCACCCCGAACATGCTTGCATTGTTGCTTAGAGTGGTCAGAAGACTCTGCATTTTGTCAGCGTCTTCGCCAAATAAAACTATGTCATCTGCATATTCTAAGTCAACAAGTGAACCTCCCGGTAGAAGTTCAACCCCTGGAAATCTAGATGAGGAAAGTGTTATCTCTAGAAGTACGTCCACGACAAAGTTGAACAAGAATGGGGAGAGTGGACAGCCCTGACGAACACCACTTGAGGTAATCAATTCTGATGACAGTTCGCCATAAGCTCTCACTCTACCAGTTGTGTTCGAGTAGATAGCCTGTATAAGGTTAATGTACTTCTTTGGTACTCCTTTCAGTGACAAACACTGCCATAGAACCTCACGATCAACAGAGTCGAATGCCGCCTTAAGGTCGAGAAATACTACCATTGTGGGGCGAAAGTATGTGGCGGAGGTGGGATTCGAACCCACGCCGTGTTACGGACTGGTGATGATGTAGTCAAGAGTTACCATCTGAGGTAGTTGGGACATGCGTTGCGTATGCCCAGCCATCGTTTATTTTGATGGAGCGATGTCTGTTGTGTGAGTAAGTTGGAAGAAAGCTGCAATTAGCAAAACCAAAACGTGGCATCAGTTCATTAAGTCATTGAAAATTGGATTAAGTAATGTTAATAGGTGTAGACTAGCTGGTTAGTGTCGACGTGGTTGTCGTTATCAGTAGTTAAGGACTTTGGATGACATAACTCGAAATCGTTTGCGATGTCGCAGGTGCATCTTCTTTTTATCTTCCACATTCTAAGTTTATTAATTCATAACTTTTATTTCACTGGTTTATATTTCTCGAATCGTCTCTTCGGTGCCCAATTTTTTCTGCTACTACCTTTACTACTCCGGAATTTGCCGTGACAATTTTATTTCGCTGTATTACCGGGTAGAGCAACTTAAACTGGTGTTGATACGTATAGGGCATTAGGTTGCCTTTGACTGGCCGACTTCACAAGAAAATGAAAAGCTACTTGAGTAACAGAGGAATCAGCTTGACTAATGTGGTTTCTATAATCATGTGACAAATAAAGATCAGATTAGGAACTAAGTAGTTCATGAAAGGATATCAGGGGTTTGAGGTGCAATAACTAGCTCATCACTCCTATTTAACATAGATGCTAGTCGAAATCCCATTTTGGTTATATTTCTTGATTTGACTTCAGTCAGTAACGACAATGAATAACTGGAATAGGTATTCATAATTTAAAGCAGTATATAAACAATAAAGGACAGGTGTGCAATCATATAACAAAGAATGACCTAGAATAAAATATGAATCAATATAATTCACCACATTCCGTTTTAGTAAAGTGAGGGAAAAACAAGAGTCGGAACGACAGTACCATCAGTAATGCTAAGAATCAAACTTAGTGAGTACTGTATAAGAACAAATAAGTGAAAAACAAATAATAATAAATTTGAGATCCTTTGGCTCAAAAGGGACTAACGTCGAGCCCTGTCCATTAAACTCTACAAGTATCGCATCCCAAACATGTTTGTGGATAAGCAACAAACGAATATTGTGCTTGGTGTTTTTAATATAGTTGTATTTAAAACAATGTAATTTGTAATTACAGGTCATTGTACGTAAATTATGATGAATTCAACTCGTCTCTGCTTTCCTCCCTTTCAATCTTGGGCTAACTGTTAGCTTTCTTGGTTTATTTAAAAATAGGATGTGTTGTTTCACTTTCTTATCCTAGCCGTGTGTAAAATACAAGTACTGAAAGGTGGTTTTTTCATTATGTTGTGTCGTCATTCCACTCCCGTTGTCGAAGTGTAGATTAATGACTAATCTCATTAGGTAACTTTGTCACTAACTTCAGTTTTTGGTATTTTAATCTCTAACATACCCAGACAGCTTCCGTGCAATATCACCCCTCTGTCTCCTGTACTAATTGTGTTTCCATAAGTATATACTTAGATATTTATCGCTCTTTATGATCTGAAACAGTTTAATTAAGTTTCCTTGCACATGACTTCAGGATCGATGTTAATATGCCTAACTCAAATATTAGCTTAGTGATCTTATTCATCAAATGTATGGGTTATTATTTATTGTGATATGGTTCGCAATATTGCGGGTAGACATTAGTAGAAATCATCTGATTCTATAGCTTATGGTCGCTTTGTTACCTTTTATTTCGACTAGTAAAGAAAATATAATAGGGCGGAAAAAGATTAATATAATTCAGTGAATTGCTCAGAGATGCTACCGGTTTTTCTTCACTGTGTTGTGTTAATAATCTGACAACAGTAATATGATTTCCTTTTATAGTTAACCCACCAGTTACTTGTGTTTGAGCTACACTTTTAAGTGTGATGGATAGGGACATTACTCATCTGCCCAAACCAACGTGGACGGAAAAGGGTTCAGATCTGGGAGGTCTTAACTACGAAGCGACGAGTTGTCACTAAAGTCATTATCATAATAATAAATTTTCTCTATCCATCTGATCCCTCTTTATCTGGTTGTATCTGTCAGTTAGGTTGCTAAAATTGTAGCTTTTGTTTATTGATTTCTGATTTCAGAACATGTTGAATGCATTATTTCGCTTAGTCTAGTGATGGACGCAGCTTTTTGGAGGTTTTATATCATAAATTTTACAAACAAATGAATTTCAGATGGATTTATGGAAAAGCATTGAGAAAAATCTGTCTTGGTTTGACTTGTCGTCGGAGGTGCGTATACAGTTGAACGATGACCCAAAGAAGTACGAGGAACAGATTTTGTTACACAGTTTTCGAAACCAGTTGCGCTACACCGGAAATATAGTACAATTGGTATGCAAAGTGTTTAGATAATCTCAACTTAAGGTCATAAAACGTGAAAAAAAATACTACGAGAAACTTGTTGATTATGGAAGACAACATTATCTCCTATATCCTTACCACTTACAAGACAAAATAGTCCGTGGTTTGCAAATTACGCAGTTTGTCTACTACCGTCGCATGATAATTGACCTGATTTCGACTGAAAAGTCATATGACTGTCTTCCAAATTTTACTGCTGCAGATTGCTTACGTTTGTTGGGAATTGGCAGAAATCAGTATATTGAGCTTGTTAACACTTACAAGAGTTTCCTGTCGTCAATAGGTCCTGACGAAAATGAAATTCAGGGGCTTCTTTGTGACATTCTGCCGTCACAGCCAATCGATAAAGTCATATTTGAACCTTGGTATGTAGTTCGTATTGGGTCAGTTATGTTATCTGACATACAAGCATCTACGGATTCCGAGCGCATAACGATCGACCAGCTTATAGATGCTGAAAAAGCAGATGACTTGGAGGAATCCAACGAAGTCGGTCCCGGAATTCTGGTTAAAGATCTTGATCAAAATATCATCAAAGGACTTTACCTTCGTGGTTTGGTTTACATTGATATTCCAGTGTCTTGTGACGACAAGATATGTGTCCCTACACTTGAGGGCTTCGTAATGAATCGTATCAGTGGAGATATTAGAGAAAATCTTTTATACAAGATTTTTGTCACTGCTGATGAGAATACATCAGTTAGTGAACTAGCTGAGTGTCTGCAGGTAGATGTGAATTCAGTAAAACAAGCTGCTTCTATATTTTGTCGGTTGGGGTTCGCTCAAAAACGGATTGGACGTCTGGAGAGTCGAACACAGCCTTTTCAAATTCCAATATCCATTGAGGAGTCTGATACGCTGCTACACACGGAAAACTCAGTTGTCGACGCAAACTTAGATTCCTTTCCATCTGTAGATGACCACCCTCAGCAGAAAAAAAAGTTGGTTCTGATATTTGATTCGACCATCACAGCTTATCTCATGATGGGCAATTTATCACCCAACTTAAAGCCTCATGCAGTTACAATGTTTGAAGTCGGGAAATTATCAGATGATTCATTGAATTCTTTCATATTTGAATTAAACCATCTTGCTCCTGTTTCAGAAGGTGAAGCCGGAGTTTATCGCGAGTATGCTCTGAATTTAAGAAAAACAATCCACTTTTTGCGTAGTCAGGCTTCATTAGACTCAACGGACTTTTGTGATGTGGATTTAATTAGAGGTGGTTCGTTGTTAAGTTTAGAGGCTGAAACACGCATACGAGTTTTGCGCAAAAACTATAACGTAGTTGTGAGCCTTATTCCCTCAACATATGAAGACCAGCAAGCTTCTGATTCCCAATGGCCACCACATTTAGGACCACCTATATCAGAAGCTAATTCTCCGTGGTTCGGTCTTTTTATTTCTTGTATCGCAAGCAATACAATTCAAAGAAAACAGAATCCCAGTGTTAATGTATTGCCTACTCTTTTGATAACATGTGGTACTAGAATATCTAGACTTCCATTACCTTTACGAGGAATTTCACGCTTCTGGCTTACTGCATGGGGTCATGATGCTGTAGTGGTAGACTCAACTAATTTTTTAACCACAGCAAACGATATGCTTCTATCATCACCTGTACTTATCCAAGTGAGTTTTATCGATAATATCTGTTTTTTATTCTGATTCCGAAATACACTAACCCTATATCAGAACATGTTGAATCAATTCTAATGTTAAATTAATGATTTCTTCATTAAATAATCTTTCTATGTAGAAAAGTCTGTTGTCTGAATTCGGTATTTAATATTTGTAGAAAAATAAAGAATAAATGCATTTTAGCCATTATGACGGAATACAAGTCATAACACTCAAAGTTTCTAACGACTGATTTACGTCACTATAAGAATTTGAAAACACAGCACTTTACTTAGATTAAAAGTCAAGTAATCCCTAAACTAGTACCATGTGTCACTTTTAAGATTATTAGCTTTTTTAAAATTCAATTCCTCTACATCTATTATCAGACGTTGTTAGCGGGACATAGACTAGACTAAAGCATGCTCAATGCATGATTGCTTTGGTGCACGCTGATTGGCTAATTCTTATCCAATCAGCGCTAGTCGATAGTTGGAGAATATTCTGGATTCTTCTTATGTAAAAACTATAAATATACCGACGTTTTCCCCTATTGTGCTTCCTACTGGCTTCTGACTTGCTATTTGGAATATAATCTTTTCCCTGTTCAACCGTGTTCTGATTTGGGGACTTGTCGAGTGAATCGGTGTCCGAGAATACTAAGCAATAGGAATAGCTGGGTCATTAACCGTAAGAACCAGAGATTATAACAGTGGCGACGGGGAAAAACTAAAGAAAAATGGCGATTTCTTTAGAACAGTTGCGGTTAATATTACAGCACCAGCAGAAGTTGTTAACCTTGCAACAACAACTATTGAGCACACTTTTCACTCGACCAGAAAATAAGAAATCTGTTTATGATGCAGTAACAGACATTTCAGAAGCATATCAAGTGGAGGGTTCAAATCCCTTTATACCTGAATCAGAACGTAATATTTGTAACGTTTCCGGCTCACAGCAAGAAAATACTGTGCTGAATGCACATGAAGTTGTGACAATACCAGATGATCAGGACAGATCCTGTAGATGATGCCCAGAGTCCAGAATCAAATGAAACACTACTGGTACTGTCTAGCTGCGAAAATAAACGTCAGCTCGAACAAAATTGTGGTCCACGTGCTATTAGTCGAGAAAGCTATGGTGACTCGTATTCAGAAAATAACTGGAGCAACACGATGAACCAAATTGTACCAGATGTTACTCAAAATCACCGGAAGACAGAATTTTATATTGAGTCAACTTATCCCATTTCTAATGACAGTGTACCAGATATTGATTCTCAGAATAATGCATATGATTTTGATGAACCTTCTTATAACAATGAGGGAAATATGTCAGCTGAGTCGAATGATGGCCAAAAATCTAATCTAATTCTGTTAGACGTTGACTTTCTTAATGACTCGTTATCAGCTAACGAGATTCATAATGAATTTGAAAATAATGAACTCAGATCAAAGGTTGTTCATCATCATCTAGTCATTTTTAGTGGATTCTCCAGTCAATACGAGAAACATGGGTTAAATAAAGTCCTACTAGTTATAATTTGGAGCCATAAGGACCCAACATTATTTCGAGGAGGAGGAGAATGTTGGAGAATTAAAAGTTATGCATACTTTTTTTTAAGAAAAATCAAAACGCCGGGAACAGACATGTCAGTCTCTGTGCAAGGAAAAAGTGATAATTCTTCATTGCCTAGACGATGGACTAATCGAAAGCACAAGCCAGTCACTCAGTTGCAGTTGGACCCTAGCACCAGATCCTACGAATCTGCTCAGAGGGGAGGTGTTAGCGGGACATAGACTAGACTAAAGCATGCTCAATGCATGATTGCTTTGGTGCACGCTGATTGGCTAATTCTTATCCAATCAGCGCTAGTCGATAGTTGGAGAATATTCTGGATTCTTCTTATGTAAAAACTATAAATATACCGACGTTTTCCCCTATTGTGCTTCCTACTGGCTTCTGACTTGCTATTTGGAATATAATCTTTTCCCTGTTCAACCGTGTTCTGATTTGGGGACTTGTCGAGTGAATCGGTGTCCGAGAATACTAAGCAATAGGAATAGCTGGGTCATTAACCGTAAGAACCAGAGACTATAACAGACGTCCAGGTAAACAGCTAATCAATATACGTGATATAATTTCTAGCCATCTTGATTTATAAAACTACACAACCTTTACTTTTTTGTTCTTACTTTGACCACAACACAATCGCAAGATTCCATGATCCCACTACAAGTAAATAATGCTTGAGGGATGTTTTCACTATGACACTTGTGCTGTCTTCCATCATATCTTATTGTTGTGAATTATGATCATAGATCCCTGTTGTTCTAGTGGGTTATTAAGACTTCCGAACTAGTTAGAGTTTTCTGATCTTACAAGGGGCCATATGTTTTGTCAAAAATCGTACCTCGCTTCGAAAATATGATAGTCTAACAAAAACTTAAGGTCTAATTATTTTTAACTGCTAGTATGTCTTGATCAATTTAATATTCTGTTAGATATGCTATGATTTTACATTATAATCAGGTGTTCTCACGATCGACTGGTTCAGTTGTGATTACTTACTTGACCAAACCTATCACCGTATTTCAGTGCGATCTACTGCATCCCGCTCTAAAAACTAAATACAATGTAACTACGCATTACTCATTATCTTTGTGATAATTTGTGGATAATACGAGAGCAGACGTATTACATTTGGCATTATTCCTCTACATTTCCCAATGGGAAAACAGGTCTATTTCTATAATAAAAAACAACCTGTTATATAATAAAGTCGAATAGCTGAAGTATACTCATATGTGTTGTCCCATTGTTATGTATACCAAAAATTAAATCATTCTCACTTGAAAACAGCGAGTTATTATCAAAAAAGCCTTTTAATGTTCCTTGAAGTTGAATTCTTGCATGTTCTTACAGTCTGTTCAGACAATAGGATTTTATGATACCTCCTTGAAGGGCTCTTTATCACAGATGTTACTGTTTTTCAGTGTATTTTTAAAAATAATTTCTCTGACTGATACTAAAAATTAAACACTGATTGTCCGTTCATTCAGCACAGACTCCGAAGTACTTCATGGCACCGCTTGCGATTTGCTATTCAAATATCCGATGAGAAAGGTTGCACAACGTACTGGTGATTATTACCATAAATTTCAATTTTTTCTATAATCTCAAGACATAAGTCAAAAACAGAATTACTATCATTCAGCCCATGTCGATTTGGTTGAGATTCCTATAGTTGGGAGGATATCTAATACCTGCCATCACAGTCATATCGTAGCCACCAAAATTTTTTAACATAATATCTCCATATTTCAGATTAGGTTCCAGTTAAAGTGCAAATGATTTTTTCATCTCTTAGATCTTTTATAGTTGGTTACTTTCACTTTGCTTTGCTCAAACCTTTTTCTTTGAAAAAGGCTATCGAAAGTTATGAATTTGAAGAAAATTTATCCCAGAGGTACATACCTTTACCTATTTCCAAGGAATTCCTACAACATTCATCCAATTGTGTACCAGAATTCATAATACATCTTATGAACGTTATCGATTTAACCTATGTCTCTGGATATATCATAGTACTAGCTCCAATGAACAAGTGTGAACACGACCAAGATCTGAATAAACTAGCTTCAGAAGACCAAAACATTCTATTAACTAGCACAGACTCCATTTTACAACGCGATCAACAAAAAAGTGAATACAATTGTTCTAGGAAAGCTGTTTTAGTGGAAAATGAATTGCTCACTATTATGAAAGAGCATAAACCAATCTATTTCATTACTTTACGTCTAGGTTTGCCCATTTTTAACATGGAATTAAATCACGCAGTTTGTACTCAAATATCTAATCAGAATTTACTATCCACTAATAACCGCAATCATCTTGAAGCTACTAATCATCTACTTGTTGAAGAATTTACAAAATTTATTTTTAATGACTGTTCAGGTTTGTTACCTAACCAAAACCAATGTAGTTATTCAACCCTTGTTACCAGTTCTGGTGGTAATTTTCCTGATACCTGGCCCCTTCCTACAAAAAATATGATGTGCGCTAATGGTATTTTGTCATTTTTTTAGTCTTTTTCGCCACACCTAATAATATTTAATCTGCAATTATTTTTGGTTGTAACGCGTACATATCTATTTCGGTCAAATGATTTAATCGTTTGATGAACACTCATTTTAAGTTTTTTTGCGTGGATTATCTGTTATTCAGGTATCACTTAGGTTTTGTCTTTTTCTATTTTTAATTTCTACCCGTTCTTTCGTATTTTTTATTTCACCCTAAAAATATATTGTCATACATGTGACAGCAGTACATATCGTTTTATTTATTCCGTAATTAATTCCTGATCAAGTCACGTCCTCTATACATCAGTAACCGCATATTGGATATATCAGTGATCAATGTGAACTTGGTAATTAGATTACAGATAGTTTTGAACAAGTTATAACTTAAAAATAACCCTGTAAAAAATCTTTCATTTACGTAAAAACAAGTTACTGGACAATGTCGGGAAGTTTTTTTAATCCATAATATTTTCCAGACCTCTCACAAGCAGTAAGCTCAAGGAATTTTTTCTAATCAATTTCTAAGTTGTACCAAAGTTTTGTAATTTTCGTTTCAACTAAATTCACATTAAGAATACAATCTTATCGTCTCAATAGAGTTATAGTATCATGACTTGCTCATCCAATAATGTTAAGGTAACCCATTGTCATCGAATAAAGAGAACTCAACAGAGAACATTTCGACAATATCTACTAAAGCTATACATTCGTGTTCGTGGTGCAATTAATATATGAGCTTAAAAAAAGAAGTGGTCACATCAGAAATTTTTCCAAGACTTCAAATGTAAGGAGAATTTCGCGTTATCTAAAAGTTTGAGAAGAATCGGAGGCTAAGAAATATCTACGGATCTAAAATATGAGCGACAATTGTCTGCTTGACAGACATGGAAAAGACGTAAAATGCGTTTAGGTCATCATAACAATTGATTAATAATCATGTTTATTTATTTGAATACATAAATATTGGTACAAAGGGGCACCGAATACATGTGCGCCACACAAGTTACTTGGTTTGGATGTGGGCTGTGATACTGCCCGGGTGCCCAAACCGAAGCAGGCGGTTTTCTTAGGAGGCCACACCCGGAGCCTTTCAACCCAAAGGTCTGACCCACAATGCAGTGGAGCAACGTCAGGAGATGCAGTCCCATGGTAGCCGGTTACCAATAACCGGTTCATACGCCATTTGTTCCCTCGGGGTCCCGGAACCCACGTACACCATTGGTTTGGAATCAGGAGTTCCCAACTACACTAGGTGAATCCTCCGTGTCCACCAACCTGATTAAAGCTCTGAACATTTTCTTTTCGTCCTCAATTTTGTAAACAACAGCCCTACCAAGAGAAGCCATTGAGTAGAACTTCTCTGGCAGTGCTGTATACATGTGGCCATGTGAGAGCATTTCGAGAGGGATAGCTGACTCTCCCCACCCTCGGCCATACCATTTGGGGACTAATGATGGATATTTGTAAGAGGGTGATGATAACTGGTCACGCTCCGAAAGTACAATATGACAGTGAGAACGAAACTAAGGCATTATGAAAAGTGTCAAGCCAAAGGCAAAATTAGAGGTTGCACGTGTCGCTTTTGGACACAGTGTTCAGACTTGAATTAATAAATCGCCATCGCCTCAGCAGTACAGAAGTTTTTTTACTCAACCTCTCCTTATTCATGTAGATTCTTTTGAAGAGTGATTCTTCTGGGGCAACGTTGCCTGGAGTTGGAAAATATGCTCCTGTACTGAGTTTCTGATTGCTTTGGATTCCTTTTTTAAAAATCCACGCTATGTGTTGTTCTGAGATGCGTTCAGAAAGTGTTTGCTTAGTGAAATCAATGTTACCTGTCCCTCACTAACAAATAAAGCTATGTATGCACATCGATGTGGCTCAAAGAGAAAGTTTACCCTTAACACATGAATGGTAGCCCGTTTGGAGTAGATAATATCAAGCTTAGCTAAGTAGAAAGTTTTCAGAGATCCTTAAATCCGTTTATTCACCACTTCCTCAGCATTAACTTCCTTAAATTTGCCTTTTGTACCGTCAATGATCTTTCAGGTAGTAGTTGGCTAGAGCAAATAAATGACGGTTCTTCTAAATGAAGGTAGTGACAAAATGTAATCTTCTGATCACGATGAGGAATCAGGCAATTATGTGTGAGATGCGTTTCTCTGCCTCTCAATTCAAAGTTCTTCCTTAAAACTGCTCCACTAATGCCTAAATTAATGGTAGGGAGTAAGATAGTTGAATGCGCTTACCATTTCTGAAACATCACCAGACCTGGTGTCTGATGAAGTTTCGGCGTAGATTCGGAAATCTCGCTTGGTTTTTTTGTCAGCTTCCATCAATTTTTGCGTAGACTAAGACGTCTGCTAATTAAGAAGTGAGTGTACTGCATAACAGCTCACTCGATTTTCATTTATCGTTATGAAAGATGGATTTAAAAAGTGACATTCTTAAGTTACTATTATTTGATCATACATGCCTTGAACCATTGATTTTCATGTATATTGACTTTATAGATTCCATACTCTTTTAATCGCTTTATGTTCTTTTTTTCGTCCCGAATTTCATCGTTTTATCATACTTTATTCTTGTCATTGTAAATACCGCAAGCATTCACAGACGAGTTTCCATACAAACTAGTAATAATGTGTTTCCTATCATTCCTGAATGTTAGTGAATCTGCTTTTTGGGGGAAGGAAGTAAAATAAAATTAGCAGTTATTTTAACACTTAATTATGTTTGCGTTGTGTTTTCTCAGGTATTTTTTAAATAGATTTACCACGTGTATTCTCAAATAATTATCAAACAGGTGTATAATTGTGTTTTATTGAATCTTAATTGTGAGATTTCTTTCATCTCTGTTACTGTTGTTGTATTCTTTTACTGTTCAAAAAATAATAAACAACTGTAAATGTTTGGGCCGATTTGTGTTAAGAATCCCATAATTGTTAACTTATCGAAATTTCCAAACTGTACGTTATCGATCCCATATTTCGGTAGTGTATCCACGTCATCCATGAGTAGAATTTACTATTTGTGTTCATTCGTCCTGACTTTTACTCGGAGTTTGGAAAGGCATGGAATTTACAGGACATAACAAATGTGCTGAAACACAATAAAATAAAAGATCTACCCTTAGATCAGCATTCGACACGACATTCCCGTCTGATTGAAAGCTACTTGAAGTTAATTGTAATGTCGCAGTTTCTACGTTATTGTTTATTCAATGAATTGTACCAAAAGTAATTTATGAAATTAATTTAAACTGTCAACTCTCACTAAGCAGCCATACTGTTTGGTTCGTGTAGTTTACGTGAGGAGCTTATGGTTAGTCCATATACTAAATACTGTGTAAGTAACTATTTGACTACCATTTGTACTACAGTTGGCTCAATCATTTTAAAAGTACAAACATACCATTCAAATATGATGATAACATTATATCAACAGCCATAATGTAAACATTTGTTCGTGTCTGCTACTCAACACTGAAAGTTTATTAGCATAATCTACTTATCCTTCTAGTAAACAACTAACACTGGGTGACGAAACTCCAAATTTTCATTTGTCTACATCACTGTTAACATTCAGTAGATCAAACGTCATGAACTAGCCAATAAGTTGTCCTAAGCTCCCCTCTATCCATGTTAATGTAAGAAGTAACTAGGTACGTTGTAGAAAATTCATAAAGACTATTTCCTTGATTTTGTTTGACAAGATAAAGTTTAATCTCATTCAACAAATCAGACGAATAAAGGGGATTCGAGTAGATTCGAGAGAACTAAAGAGATTAGGCAAGTCAGTAACAACGTAGAACTTCGTACGTACGTACATCAGTTCGAGTCGCTATACCACATTAGCACACAGATACAATTGTCGATTCACTCCCGTAGTGGTAGAGGTAATAAGAGTATAAGCAGTAGTCGGAAAGATTAGGGTTTGAAGATGTTATTTGAACAGTATAATCCAGTGAAATAAATTTGGAAAGAGGAAAAAAGGGACATGAAGAATTCAGAAGATTAGAATTCGGGAGAACACAAAGAGTGGATGCACCTGCGCAATTGCAAACGATTTTGAGCCATGTCATTCAGGGTCTCTAACCATCGGTTGCTATCATCTCGTGGTCCCCAACCAGGTAGTCTACACCTACCAACATGACTCAGTCCACTTGTCAGTGACTTCATGGACTTGTGCCATGTTTTGGTCTGGCCGACCCTAGCTTTCTTCCAACCTACTCCTATACCACTAAACATCGCACGTCGAGGCAGTCGGTCGTTGGGCGTACGTAACACGTGTCCCAGCCATCTCAACTGATAAAGTTTCACTACTTCATCAATGGATTTGCCGTCCTTACCTAGTACCCGTTTCCTAACAACTGTGTTACTTAATCGATGGTCCCATGATATACGAGCAATGTTTCGAAGACACCTATGATCGAATACTAGTAACCTACGAATATCCTCTACTCTTATCGGCCATGTTTCACTGCCATAATGTAGGACGGTGCAAACTGCTGTGCAGTAAACACGCCCTTTGGTCGACCTTAAGGCGGCATTCGACTCTGTTGATCGTAAGGTTCTATGGCAGTGTTTGTCACTGAAAGGAGTACCAAAGAAGTACATTAACCTTATACAGGCTATCTACTCTAATACAACTGGTAGAGTGAGAGCTTATGGCGAACTGTCATCAGAATTGGTTACCTCAAGTGGTGTTCGTCAGGGCTGTCCACTCTCCCCATTCTTGTTCAACTTTGTCGTGGACGTACTTCTAGAGATAACACTTTCCTCATCTAGATTTCCAGGGGTTGAACTTCTACCGGGAGGTTCACTTGTTGACTTAGAATATGCAGATGACATAGTTTTATTTGGCGAAGACGCTGACAAAATGCAGAGTCTTCTGACCACTCTAAGCAACAATGCAAGCATGTTCGGGGTGAGATTCTCTCCCTCGAAATGCAAAATGTTGCTTCAGGATTGGGTTACATCGACACCCGAACTAGTGATAGGGAGTGAAGTAGTTGAGTGTGTCGACCGCTTCACTTATCTTGGAAGTCTCATCAGCTCTTGTGGTCTGGTGTGTGACGAAATCTCAGCACGGATACAGAAGGCTCGACTAGCTTTTGCCAACTTGCGTCATTTATGGCGTAGGCGAGATATCCGTCTATCAACCAAAGGACGTGTTTACTGCGCAGCAGTTCGTCCCGTCCTACTTTATG